GGGTTATCGAGGGCCCTGATCACGAATATGATATTCATTTTTGGCGCTGGCGCCAATTTGGCGAAAGGTGGCACCAAGACTAAATTTGCTGTAAACTTCTGTGTAGGGGTTATTTGGGGTCATGATTACGAATATGACATTCGTTTTTGTTGTTAGCGCTATTCGGCGCCTATTTCCTGCTCGTCTGCGCCCTCGCACTAATTAGATCGCAATCAGGACTAAGCCTTTGAATAGTGGAGGGCTCCCAAGTGAGTAGGGCACTCCCCTGTGGTCTAACACACTCCAACTTTTGCCACACGGGTGCGTGGATTCACCCACTCCGGAGTTTCACTCCCCTCCCCTAAGCTTAGTCCTAGGCGCCATAGGTGAGAAAGCCTAGAAAATCAGAAAATATGCGTTAGACAACACGAATGTTTAAAAACCAGTGTCATATTCGTGATCAGGGCCCCAAATAACCCCTATTCAGAAGTTTACAGCGAATTTGGTGCTAATCAGTAGTGGCGCCAAATGGCGCCAATTTGGCGCCAGCGCCAAAAAAGGATGTCATATTCGTGATCAGGACCCTCGATAACCCCCATAGCAAAAGTTTCAGCAAAATTATTTCTTGACCCATCTCGGCCTCCACTAGGGTTGTAATAATGCAATAGTCGGATTTTAAATGGTCATGTGTAATAGGTAAGAGAGATGTTACTGCTCTTGCATTAACTTAATGATTTCCGACTCTCTTGCTTTTTTATTTGCTTTTTCAGAAGCTTCGCACATTGAGGAAGGAATGTCGTTGTCAAATAAGTTCTCCAAGAAATCATTGCCTGCCGAGTCAGAGCAGTCAAAGGGAGACAATTCATACATCGAAGAAGAGGATTTAGACTCAGTTGAAGGTCCAAAATTGAATGAAAACAAAGAAAATCAAGTGAGAGAAGATGCTCGCAGAGGAAACACCCGCGCTCAGTGCTTTACAAAGAGTTCGAAGAAAGCAAAAGCAGCGATGGAAAGCAGTGAAGGTGCTCAAAATGACAGCAGTAAGAAAATGGTGAGTTCCGCCTCTCATCATCTTGCCTCCATTTTAGGACAGGGGGTCTTGGAAGATTCTGTCAAAAATCAGTATCCTGGTCCATCTTGCTTTATGTTTAAACAACAAAGAAGTTGAGGAAAGCTGTTGTTCTCCAAAAACTTTCCCAACTTGGCGCTACTTATTATATTTTTTTTTCAAAGTCTTGCCTCAACACTGACGCTTCTTAACTGTGATATTTTCCAGATTGAGGGAGCGAGGACAAGCGAGATGAACCGTTTTAAATTTGGAATCGAAGCAAGTAATATTGAATCATCTGATAGCGTTAAATTTTCATTTTTCAGTTCATAACAAGACAGATAAGTGTCATAATACTTGTAGATCTTCTCCTTCTAAGTTGGAAAAGCAGGAATCATCGGATGCTGTCACTTCTTCGATGAAAAATAAGCGGAAGCGAAAGAAGAAAAAATCGGGGGTCCAAAAGACCGCTGTCGCCGTTGAAAACCCCGAGGGTACCCATGAAAGTGCTGTGGTTGCTTCTGCGAAAAAAGAAAAGAACGCCTCAGGTCGAGATTCCAATGAAGCAGATACTATAGCCGGTCAGACTCTTGTTCTTCCTTTAATCCATGTAGTTATGCTTAGTTTCTTTGCTGTAGTTAGATGTTTTTCAAATTGCCTTCCATTGGTAAAGGCTCCTTCAGATGCCTAAATTGCTAGAGTCTTGTGCGTCCTTTTTGCAGCTTCAATTCGTCGTTTAGGCTCAAATGGCAAACCTTCACCCCTCCTTCCTCCCACTGCAGACAAATTCAAAGAGATCCTCGAAAAGCTTGCCGATGTTCTTGATACTCAAGAGGTGCTGTTACCTTTCGAATTAAGAATTTTCTTGGAACGTTGTTGTGGATTAGGTGGGAGCTTGGGAGATTCAGTGAAATGTAGAACCTTCTGTAATAGTTCAAAATATTAGGCTCGAAGGCTCATCAACGAAGAAGTGAGTGCTGGTAGAATCGAGAAGATTGAATTCATGACGGTCATGCAGAGATGGCGTCAGCAGAAGCGAAAGAAGGTTATAAGACCTTTTTTGTACCTCCATTCCTACCTTGTTACTCGAGAGTTTTCTGGAATTGAATTTGAATATTGTAGATCCAAACGCTTCAAAGGGATAAGGTGGTGGAAATGGAAGGTTCGCTTGACGACGTAAAGGTACGTCAGATATCATTTTCATTTCGCATATCATGCCATTCCTCCCTACTTTTTCTTTATTGAATAATACTCTATGCTGGGATATTCTAGGTGAAAGTTGTCTCTAACATTTCTGTCATATTGGAGAGATTGAGGATCTTAAACCTTAGAGTTCTCTAAAAATTCATAGATAAGTCCGCTTGGCAGTGTGTGTACGATCATCGTAGCGAAGTTTAAATGGCTCTCAACATAACAAAGCAGAGTTGCTCAACTTGGTGGTTTTTATTGATATATTTTGTTCTATAAAAAAAAAACTCCAGAAAACCATCGTAGATCAAAAATAAGAGGCGGAGCAAGAAGCTACTTTCGTCGAAAATGAAAGCATACTCTGGGATGTCAGGGTTCCTTCGGTTGATATTGGATATTAAAATGAAGAGAGGTTCCTTAAGGTGAAGGAATAGTCGACAATAGTCCCAGAATCGATATAGGATTCAATTCCGGTTAGAATCA